CAAATCCTACGGATAAGAAGACAGCGCAGCGTTAGTTTTGAACTTTTTCATGTTGTGAAAATTTTGTGGTGTAAATAAAAATGAAATAACTGGAGCAATCATATTTTAGTTTTACTTAATGCTTATCTTACAATTAATCATACTATCGAGTTTTATGCACCTTTGTAAAAATAAAGACATTCGAGGCGATTTTGACAATTAATATTCGGGTAATAACACTTTTCCCAACGATGACGAAGAAATTCTTATCTCTGTTAATGGCATCAAGTCTCAAGCTTCTTGAAAAATACAACAGTTAACCAAAACTTGACACTGGCAAGATCATAATTTGAACAAATTTTTCAAATACAACTATTAAATGTGGCAGAAATATCATCTTATCGCTTATAGGATTCGTCAAGATTAAATAATACTTTTAGTTAAATCGTTTATTTAGCAATAAAAATTAATTTTATGATCATACATCATTCCGTTATATTTACAACATCGATTTTTAAAAAATGTTAGATTTCCGGCCGTCAAGAAACATTGCAGCTATCACATGTCTGCAGCTTTGACGCCGCAGAAAAATAATACCCGACGACTTCGATCAGGGGTTCTCCAGGCCCCAGTAAAATTGCATTTCTCGACAGTGTTGTATTTTCACTCGAATTTAACCTGTTGAATAATGTCAGGCAAATAGAGATGATCGGATTTAAGGAAAATACTCAGCCAGGCTCGAGTAACGTCGTTTTATTTATACGTTTATTTGCAACGTCGTTTTATTTATGTGTTGCCGATTTGTTTGATAAATGTTAAATTTGTTCAACTCCAACAACAAACATTCATTTCAGTACTTACAAGTTTTAGAATAGTGAGAGAATCATGAACAAATTTCTTCTAATTCAACTGAGTCAAGCTTTCCTGAATCCTTTTGACGAAATTGAAGCATATCAAGAAAATTATGTATTCTTTGGTAGTGAGAGTTTATCAGGTAAACTATCTTAAGAGCAAAATATGCAAATTAAAAATTGTAATTACGTGTCAACATTCCTCGATTTGAGTTTCAATGACACATGTTTCTGTCTGGTGACTATCTTAGTTCAAGCATGCTTGATAAAATTACTCGATCTGAATTTAAAATCTGAGACTCAAGAACATTCATTGCTCTACCTCGAAAACTTAATCAACTTCAAAATTTCCAATCACGGACTATAATAAATGGATTCAAATATTGATCACCTGCCAGAAACGGTGATCAATAATAAGTATAATTGAACGGGTGAGATGCACCAGTAATTAAGAAGCGTAAATTCCCAGTATATATGCATGCATGGTTACCTCGAGCTAAACGAGCGTAACATGTCTACGAATTAATGACTAATTTGTAAGACATGCATTTACATCGTTCAATAGATATTTTCTCTGAGTTTTAAGGTTTCTTTTGAGCTTGCCGGCCAACATGACTTCATAGCTCAGATGCAGCTAAAAATCTCCGGCAAACATTTGCGAGTGCCGCGTTCGGAGAGTCTCTTTCCTAGTGATCCGTCGCAGCAATTTCCATCTGTTTGCCGCACGTCAGAGGCAATGCTCAGGACCAAGGCTTGTCGTCCTCTCGAGTGAACTCAATCCGTATGAAGCTTTTGCATGAAGTTTTCGAGTGCATCCATGCCAGAGAACTGAGCAGTTCAGCATACAGTGCATCCTCTTCCTCCACATGACATGAGTCCACATCCTCATTTTCCACATGAGTTTTCTGTCTCGTAAATAATTAAAAAAATAAAATTCTCTAACTTGGAATAACTAGCGCATTTGAGATAGCTAAAATTTAAATATATAAAGTTTGAAGCATATAAAATTTTGAATCATGTTTTTATATATCATAGAAAAACATTTATCGGACGCTTATGATAATTTCTTTTTCAATTTACTCATAAATTTGCTACACTATTTTTCAGTGTACATGAATGAAATTATCTGCCGTACACATTAAATAGAAAACCACAAAAAAAACGAGTTTACAGTTCGGTTCGAGTTTACTCAGCGATCTGTACGTAGGACGAGAGTAGCGGGTCGCTCACCCCAGAAATCGCTGTCCATTCATAAACAGATATTTTTTTGTCTTTTTATGCCGGCAATGATCAAGTCATTAGCCATATCCCTGTCAGAACTATTCAACTTGAGCCATAATGCACTATATTATGTAATTCAGTATAATTCAAATGCCTCTTAGAGATTCAATTTGATCATTAATACTTTTTTTCAAGTAAGAGATGTATAAGAATTATAGTCTTGGATGAGAATTATATCAGGTTGTAACAATAAATGGATAGGCGGTATAAAATGTGAACGGGTCGGATAGAACCTATTTCGACAATTGGAAGATTGCAGCGCCGCGTGATTGGCGTCGCTTTACAATTGTTTATAGAGCAATAAAAAAGAGCCTTCACGGTACAATTTCGGAAGTCCTCTGTGAACGAATGGAAATTGTTCTTGGTCTTTTTATACCATTTTTACTGATTTCATTTTATTTAAGCTTAGAGATAAATAATACAAGTATGAATTATCAGCAAAGCTGGTTGGATAATTTAGACTTTCAACCATTTCAGGGAAGATTTGTCGCAAAGAGAGAGGTGACGAAGGCGATATTCCTTTCAGAAGAGAGACAGTCCTGCTAGCCGATCAGCGGGGTTGCAGCTCTGATCTCTGCTAAATGCCGCTATATCTATTAAATGCCGATCTTGTATTAACTGCTTATAGCCTCACCGTGTGCCCTCTGAGCGAAGTATTATTTGCCAACCTTTGTGCCTCTTTTAATTGTAGCTGTAGAATGCCCATTTTAAAGTGCCATATTTCTATTGGAATTAAAGTTTTTTAAACTGCAGTGGTGAACTGGAAAGTGGTGCTTGTATTGCCAATCATTTTAAATAACTTTTTAATAAGCTATAATAATTTAATAATATAATAAGCCGACGTTCAAACTTTGGGCGGCCATCTGTCGGAGCTAACGTAGGGAACGTCCGGTCACACCCCCATAAATTGCAAATAAACATTTAACAATTTAATGAATATGATTGTCTAATAATTTGAAATTTTTACTAAAGTTAATAAGTTACCATTAGCGGCATTGATGTTTATCAATGTCTTGTGGTTTAATGAACTACTTTCGTTCTGACTGCAAGCAATGCAGCTAAATTGAAACAAACTCCGTGTGTTGTTACGGGCCACCACAACTTACTTCTATCAATAATGACCAGTTTAGAGACCATCGCAACTCGGAAACGGATGTTCATGGATACCCTAAACTACAATCTATTGCCTTCATCTGTCGGTCTAGGAAAACGCACAACTAAAGAAATGCTTGGAAAAAGTTTTTTGTTCAGAGTCAGAACTGTGGAGTTTTCCAGTGGATGAAAAGAAGAATTCATAGATCTACCTATAAACCAACGTTGACCGGAGATCATAAAACCATATGTATCTACAAATAATTTAAATGGTGCTCTTAATTCTTGATGAAAAAATAGGTTGTTTTGGTAATAGCAAAATATTTTGTTTCACTATTATTCATGGATGCACGGTAGAAAATGAATTGTGTTATAATATTCACCAGTCATTGAACATCGTGTATGAAGGCGTAAGCTAACCACGTTGAATGATTTAATGCTGAATTTTATGAATTAATTTTTAGTGCTACCATCTAAAAATCTGAGGCTCGAATCGGATGTGAACAGTTTTCCCAAGAGAGGTCTGAAATGCGCATAGTTTCTAGAAGACTGGATATCGTTATGTAGTTAAATGGACGTCCTACGCGCGGCTCATGAGAGTCTGACGGCCAGTGTAATGGATCTAACGAAACTCTTGAAACTTTAGACGGCTTCTGAAGTGCTTAGGCCGGGCTATCACGCAAACCACGTTACGGGCCAGCGATGACTGAGCTTATCAGGCGGCATCCAATCGAAATGCTTGATGCAACTTGGCAACGGAAATAAAATGCTCGTGTTCAAGTCCATCTGAAAACTGACTAAAACGCTTCTGGTGCCCCAACTTTTGAAAGAGATCGCTGAGGCCTTGCCAAAAGTGATTGCTAGGTGGGCTGAAAGTTTTCAATCGTGAGTTGCATTGAGTGATTCCGCCTCTTGATAGGATTTGAATTTATCGCTTATAGGTGAAAAGTGTTATGTGGTGATTTTGCGGCTAAATTGCAACTTTTCTTGTAATACGATCGTTTCAAAAATGGAAACTTATTTGCAGCTTGAACCCTGCCGAGTGAGAATGGGCTACATAAATCTTTGGTAATATTTTCGAAGTTCAAGCAATATTCTACATCGTTTCTCGCAAACAATAAGTTTTGAAATTTTACTATATTTAGATTCATATCTCTTCGTGATAAATTTCGCTACACTGCAATAAAAGAGTAACATTATCAACAATATCAATATCAAATTGAAAAGAAATGGCTCCCGATTTTCATCCACAAGTGTTGTGGAGACAAAAATAATTTTTCCGCTTAAATTCCTCGTGCGAGTTATCCACAATGCGCGCAGCGGTAATTGAATATCTGGCAGACCATACATTTTTATGTATTTGTCAATATGGAAGGAACGGCAGATACGGAGCGATATTAGAGCCATATTTGCATTGAAATATTTTAGTTAACAATATTCGCTAATTTGGAAATGGATCCGTCTATCAGGGAATCACGTTATCTGCAGCGGCAAAATTTTTTCAATAGTAACCATTTTTCCATGCATAAAAATCAAAGGCTCAAAGGGCACAACCATTTTTTTAGGTTAAAAGAACAAAGTCAAAATCATTTATTGAGAGCGGAAAATTTACCTCTTCACTCATTGTAAAATGTTATATATAATAGTCACGTAAACATTGCATTCGCTCATGAAATTTTTTATAACAGTGTATAGTCTGAAATTATAATTTGACATTAATGCCAGTCGAAAAAATTTCAATACAACACTAATCCTAATTTTTTTTTGTGCAGATATTCGTCGAGAAAAATTAAATTAAATTGTGTCATTCCATGCTCATGAGTGATATTGTAAACCTAAATATATCTAAATAATGACATGTCATAACCTTTTCCTAGTAGTTCTTGTGAAAGGAATAAGTCTTCTACGCCCAACGGATGCAGACGAAGGTTAGTGAGCGAAGTATGTAATCTGTAGGGATTTCAAATATAACCGGAATAGATTAGTTCCCACCCATTGACAAAAAGTAAGCTCGTATTTCGAACATCGTTTCAGTTGGATGCGAATGGGTTTCATCGTCTAATCTGCATCTCTGTACAGTAAAATTTTCAGACGATATTTGTTAGTTGGTGAATTAAATATATTATCAATCACTTACCACGGTCACGTATGATATATGCTCTGAAATTCGGACAGCACTTTATTTATGTTTAAACCACCCACTTTATTAATGATACCATTATTCAGATACTTGTGATTTCATATGAGTAGATGTTCCTAACTAATATTTATTATTTAAACTTCTTTATTGCGAGGAAACACAGGACGTCTTCAACTAAGTCTAGTTTGATAGCTAGGCTGGTGGTGGTTCTGCCGCCGCCGTGCTCGAGCTCCAAGGAAATGTAACTTGTAGATCAAAGAAGTTAGGCAATCCTGCCACAGCTTTGCTGCACCAATGATTGATTCCATAGAATTGTTGGCCAAGCCCAATGCAGTGCAGAGTTGTTTCATAGAAGTCATAGAGAAATATTTCTTTCTTTCAGCTGCTTTCAGAGATATTGAAATAAATTCACATTCATGTTCAAAGTATTGAGTTAAGTGAAAAAATTAAGTGGAAAATTCCATTTTTCCTCATTCGGGCCTTGTTCATACATATTTATAATAAAAAAGTCAAAGTTTTGAATGTGGAATCAACTATATAACGATCCAAGCGACTGCACCAGTAACCAACAATAATTATCACAATAGTCATTCCTTATGGCAAATTCAACGTGTACAGGTAGATACAACTTCTAAGAGAATAGTGGTATTGTTCCAAATAGTTTGGTTAATAAATTAAATCTCTTAATTAAAATTGTAAATTTCTTCAGAGACGATGAATACGTTTAGGAAATTGTACCCGATCACAGCAGAGATCTATAAATAATGCAGTCAACAGGAAATGACATGACATTCCATCGATTTGTATCATAAATCAAATGGTGGTTCAAATAGTCTATAATTTGACTTACATTGACTATAGTGACCCCCATCTTTTAAACATTTATACATGGTGATTCTCCGAAACTTCCTAATTCGAAATCTCGATGAAAGAAAAACTACTAACGATATCATCATAATATAAATGAAAAAAGACATTACCTGATTTTATGTATCAGATAGTTTTAGAGATGACATCGGACAAATGACGGCCCACATTGTCTACGCATTCAGTTTAACGGAACTTTAAAAACCGACTAACTAAATGCATTGACAATGCATTGTCCGTTATTTGTCCGATGTCATCTTTAAAACTAAGAGATAGAAAAATTCAGGTAATGTCTTTTTCAACAAAATGTATACTGTAATGGTATTCCTACTAGTACTTTTTTATTGAGTTTTTAAATCTTGAAAATTTAGTGAATCACTCTGTAAGAGACAGCAAACACTTTTTAAGCAAATAATATTACTATAAATTATCACATAGATAAAGTGATGAAATTATATGGGCATCATTAATTGAGTATAAAATCAACTTTAAATGCAATGACTTGTCTGTTTGAATATTGCGGTAATGATATTCATGCGGTAAGTCATTGAGTATAGCGGGTGCACCTCATTAATGAATGCATAGACTTATAAGGTAATGAAGCGATATGATGAATTTTACTAGACACCATTAATTAAGAAAGAACACATGAATATTTGCGGAGAATAGTTAGGTAGAACGGCAAAGAAATAATATTCACAACACGTCATTAATTGAGAAATAGACTCAAGTAGTAAGTCATAAGAAAATAGAAATACATTTTAGGCGGAAGAGTGGGTTAATGTGATTTACAAAGCGTCGTCATTTGAGGAGCCTCACTTCATTAATGAAAACATTGACGAGATAAGAAGTGAGGAGAAGTGAACAATGTACGAGGCGTCAACAATAGAAGAAATCACCTCCAAATTGAAGTCACGAACTTTCATAAACGCCAATTTATGCAATGATCTAGAAGTTGATGAGTGATAGTTTCAGTGTCCCTCGCAGCAGGCGACTGGAAGGAAGAAACGGACTGGGAGCACAGCAGATGGGCGATGGCCGCACAGTTCTCGGGGTCACGCGGTCCGGAGTTCCTGCCCGACCTCAGCACCAACGTGACCGTGACGCTCCGGGGCCGTGCCGTCCTGCCGTGCAGGGTTGCTAACCTCAGGGGCAGATCTGTGAGTCATAACAACGTGACCGTGATGTTCCGGGCCATGGATGATCACCTACCTTCGGGCAGATCTGTGAGTAATATCAACGTGTCAGTGACGCTCCGGACCGTGATGCGTTGCCAACCTCAGCGGCAGGCCTGTGAGTAAAAATATCAAGCTGTTACTGATACTCAGGAGGCACGTCGTTAATCCTGACATGGCTGCCAAGTAAATCATGATGCTCGCGTTGCTCATTGTAAGGGATTTGATTATTGAAAATTGAAATTGTCAGGGCAATGATCATCAGTTAAGTTTTCATGTCAGCCTAATAAAACAATAAACTGAAGAAATTTGCAAATACTTTTTCTCATAGTTGCCATCTTTTTATATTTGGAGCACTATTTTCTACTTCAGATAAATAATGAAAAATTATATGATATTCTTTTCTCTCGCTGTTCTAATCGCCTTATAATCTCAATGTGGTGCTCATAAATTTTTTTTCATCCCAGGTTTCATGGATTCGTCAAAACGATCTTCAGGTTCTCACCACTAATGCCATCACGTTCACCACCGACAAACGGTTCTCCGTAAGTTGGAACAGTAGTAACGACAAACAATATTTCTCATTGCCAACATCTTTATCGTAGAATTCCGTTATAAATGTGGTTCGAAAATCTGGAAACAAGTCAACACGGTGTAACGCAAAGCAGTTATTAATTTTTAATTTAAATATCTATGCAGCAGCCTCAGGTCTTTTTTGTTTAAATTTTTAGTAAATGAATTTTTAGTAAATGCCTGAGGCCTTTAATATCTCAATTTTTAATAATCCATCCATAAGGGAAAATTTCTTATTGCCAAGCTAGGCCAAACTTTTGCTTCGGAAACTTAGCATAGAACTCCACTTTAGTCTAGTAAACGCTGGGCTCCGTAAACCCATACAACTTTTCACAAAGTTACAAAGTTACATGAATTGCCCGGGCAAAAGTTAGCTCAACTTTTTCTGCACACGTCGGTCAGGTGGAAGGCTACAATAAAGGTGCAGCCGCCGTATGGGATCTTCACTTGAGTGACGTCACACAAGCGGACGAAGGAGTCTACCAGTGTCAGGTCAACACCAGGCCAAAGATATTCCACCCTGTCAGGCTTCACGTCGTCGGTGAGTATTGTTTGAAAATGTTTTCATCCCTCGCCTTATTTTCGTTTGCTCTATTTTAATTTACCCATTAAGCTATTCCTCCATTTCAGGCTTCACGTTGTTGGTGAGAATATTGTGAACGCGTTTTCAGCATTCGCTTTGTTTTTATTTCTTCTGTAGTAATTACTCCACCAAGGTATTCCACCCTGTCAGGCTAAACTTCGTTGTTGAGAATTGTGTGAAAGTGTTTTCCTCCTCTCCCTTGTTTCCATTTGTTCCATAGTTATTCTAGAAACCAAATGTGGAAGGAAATGTGGAAGGAAATTTGATTAAACTCTGTAAAAATTAGCATGAGTAGTCGATGCCATTACTAAAATCAGTAATGTATCATTTTTCCAAATGCTTCGGTGCATTTTATTTCATTTTAAAGATCTTGCGGAAGCATAATAGCTCATTAATTTTCAAACTGGTAGTAAGGGATAAAATTTTTCTGTAAGATCGTGTAAAATGCCAGTAGGAGATTAACTTAATTAATCCTATACACACCAATTCAAAATTCTCGACTAAAATTCTAAGCCTAAAGCCGATTCAATACAATAACTTGTACACGTTGGCAAATGCTCATTTTCCGAAGTTTTTTTTGTGAATTTGGAAGCCGAGGTACAATATACATGTACCTCATTTCAAGCATCTCTTTTAGTTTGCCTCTATGGCGTTAACGTTTTTTTATGAGTAACTTAATCTGTTATCTGACCTTGCGACTTCTCACTCATTACAGAACGTGCACTCAATTCAATTAATTTTAATTCCAATTGAATCCTTTTCTTTTGAAGCTTGCGGGCATCATATCTATATATTTAACGCCTATTCATACATTTGGCAATTTGCGAGTACATCCGTAGAAAATGGCATGGAGAATAATCATGTGTTAAATTGTCTTTATTGCACCCATTCCATTGGCACTGAAGATGCTCATTCATAAAATCTCCAGCATCTCACACACTAACTTATAACGAAGAATAAATTTCGTGCAATTCGTTCTTATTTTCTTGGTATGAACTCTGGTGGTGCCAGAGGGTCGGGCCCACATAGCGGGCCCACACGAAGTCTACCTCCACGCGGGGTCTCGCCTGCTGCTCACCTGCTGGCTGCTGGCGCCGCCCCATCCTCCTCCACTTGTATGGACGCACAACTCCACGTATATTTACCCATTTTTTAGCTGTTTCAAAGTGAAAGAGAGTATCGCGGTTGAACAAATTATTACATACAATAACAAAACTATAATATATTGATAATATTTAAATGTAGGTACGAAAAGGTATTCGGGAAATACTCTAGGCCACCCTCTAAAGGCAGGGTGGCCTAGTGGTTAAAAAGGCAGGGTGGCCTAGTGGTTAAAGTTCAGAGTACCAAGATTGGAGCAGAGAGGCGAGGGTTCGATCCCAGCTCTGTGCGCCAGTTTCTGGTCAGAATCGGCAAGGAGGCCGGGCGGTTAAGCAAAGCAGAATTGAAGCAGTGAGTTGCGAGTTCGAGACCGCAAAATGCTGCGCATGTTCTGCGATGTTCAGAATCGGCGACAGGCCTACGGCCTAATAAACGCTGAAGCCGCTATTTTTTTTTAACTTTTACTTGATTCGATTTCAACAAGTTATTGCTTATAGTTGATAAGATATTGCTACTTCCATTTTTAATAGTGCATATGTACGAAATACATGACACCACAGTATAGTATTTTGTCATCAGGGATGCCGAAGTACCCGTTTTATAACACCACCGTATGGTTAAGCTACATCCCTGTTGAGACTATTCTCATTTCATAGCATTATGGTATTCTGGTTTGACACCTGTGAAACCAGTGTCTTCTTTTATCACACCGTACTCAATAAATACTAAAGTGAAAACTATTTATATTCCAACATCTCAGTGTTAGAATATAAAGGAGGATGTCATATAAGGTTAGCTACTATAAAGCAGCAGCATATGCATCACAGTGAGTTATGGCAATGAGGCTTTGGTTTTTGCCACGACGCTGCATCACTGTGAAGCCGGATCCCCGTTGCTTAAGCTCTCAGTTCACCACTTGAGATATTATGATTATTAATAAAAACAATTTTTTATTAATCTATGGAATGAAATTTCAGCTTGACCAAGAGAACGATCATCCAACATCAGTTGACCATTCCTAAATAGATTGTTACACAATCGCCACAATCTGTATTGGTCATGCGATCAGGCCGCCTGTCAATCCTTAATGGAAGCCTAAAAGCTTCCAGCATTGCAGCGCCAGCACTCGCGGCAAGTAAGCGGGCACACAAACTTCCGGAAAATGGAGGAGTTACGACGTAAGAGTCTAAAACTACCCGAAAAATATGATGGCAATTTTTGGCTAAAGAACTGGTTCTGTCTTTGATTATATGGATGATAGGGCTCCTACTGTCTGAATATTTGTTTGTTATATGCATGAAACTAACCCATGTTATCCCAATTAATTACTATACTATATATAAATGGTAATATATATTATTGATATGTATGGTTATTGTGCGAACCGTTCCTTAACAGTTCCCGAAAACCGTGTCGTTGAATTGTTCGATCAAAACGTTGCTCATACTTTCGACAATAGCGCGACATTTTCGGCATATTGTGTGACAAAATGTCGCACAATTACTGTCTCGGAATTTACCAATTTTGCAGAATTTATCTATGATTAGTATTTGCTAATAGTGCGACACAAAAAAAATATGAACGTTATTATGCGACATGCTAATTAACGAAAATCTCGTTAGGTTAGGGTTAGAATTAGGGAATTAGGGTTAGAGGTGTGAAAAATTATTTTCAGACACTTTTTTACTATTTTACTAAGGTTAGGTTAAGCCAGGAAAGGTTCTTTTACCTTAAATAATTAATTGAAAAACGTCAACTAATAAGCGTCATGTTCGTAGGCATTGCGTTTATTAACAACTCCACTAAATAATGCTTCCGAATTCAAATCCGGTCCTGCACAGAATGGACAATTTCCGCGACTGAGGAGTTAACAACGTGGAACAATTCTATTCAAGCTGCCGCCCACGTATACCATATTCCAATGCCGAAAGGGAACACATTTACTTAAATTCGACTCAGGTCGCGCATCATTTGCGATTTTCACAAAAGGATTTCGACTTTAAAGCAATAGAAAGTTTGCAAAAATCATGTTTGCTCAACGTTCATTAAATTTTACCTAAATAAATTTTGCCACTGAAAAAAATTCAAGTCAAGTCAAGTAAAAAGTGGAAAATTTGAATACTTTTTTTCCTCAACCAAATAAATTTCGAAGACGCGTATGCATAGTGCTCATTATGTGATCGCAATCATGAACCGAATGAATGTATTAATAAAAGCAGCGAGTTTTTCGGGCTTGAACGACAGTGAAAATTTACTGAAAGTGCAAGGCAATCTCATGAAAACGGAGAAATGATAATTAATGTTTATATTTCACGCTACCTGATGACATCGCGATGCGGAGAAGTAAAGGAAGTTTTTTACTGACCATGATCTAGACTTTTCTAAATTAATTCCTCAGAAAACGCGAGTCCTTCATAGCAGCTTGAACTTCAAGATCATATAGTGATATGAAGACAGATGATACAAAATTGAACATCGCACTTCAGACTTCTAACAAACATTCCTACAATGTTTGTGGCACAACCAGCAGCCTCTCAAGAATGCGAGCAACGTTCAGATGCTGCCATTCGTTTTCGTTTCGCCTGACCAGTCAAGTGAAAAATTCATCTCAAAGAATTATGGGAGGCTCTTCACTATACGCGCTTGAATTATTATGAGAGGTTTTACGCCAGCCTAGCACTTGGGAGTTTACGTAAATTATGATAAAGTTTATGTAAACACAAGGCCAGGCTAGGATCCTTTGGAATAAGAAAACTTTCCAGAAAACAATTATTTTCTGCCTTGAGGTTAATTTTGGGCACGCGCAAGAACTGTACGCACGTTCAGGCTCATACCATAAGAATGTCAGTCATCGTCGTAATGCATAAAACTAAATATAATTGCTTTTGTTGCCTGTTTCTCCAAACCAAATTTCATTCCGGAGAATGTATATGGAAGCAATTTAGTATTAACAGTAATTTACACTGATATCAGTCAAAACGTATTCAGGTTATGAATGCGAAGATTACATAGTAGAAAACAAATGTTTTAATTTAGAAAATAAGTTATGAATATTTCATACATAATATACATACTAAAACGTTTTTTATTATTTTTTTACTTATGCAATTATAATAAAACATTTCTTTTTATCACGAGCAAAAAACGCGTTTTGATTGCTATGTCCTGACCCTCATGAGATTTCAGTATATCATCATAAAATATTTAATATAAAATTAAAAGAACTTAGAACATATTGTAAAGAATGTGGCTCTTTGTTCGGGGGATTGTTGTGGATTGTAACGGTTTCTGAAAACAAAGAATGAACAATTTGAACACCTATTGAGGTTATTCGAGATTATAAACAATATAGAGAAAATAGCCAAGGTTAACAAGCAATAAAAGGATCATAACATAAGTAAATGATAACATACCAAATTGCTGAACAATCTCGGTCAAGTTTGGTTCAAAATGAATTTTGTCTGAGCTCATTAACTCTGTTCCTACCTAAAAGGTCCCAACCTTATGTATACGGGAGTAGTATATTCAGTCAAATTCTTTACACATATACATCACTGAAATCCTTCTATGAAAAGGACTGTCATGTTTTCGATTCCTTTGAAACCTCTTCTTATGTCTCGGATTACACCTTCCTGTTTATTGCCTAACAAGGTGGCAGGAATCTTGGCAATATATCAATATATTAGGCATTGAGTACATTGAAAATTAGCTGTTGAATAATTTATTTATGAATGTTACCTACACTCATTTTTCAAAAAGTTTAACTCCCTATTCGATACAATTTAAAAACACTTCCATGCACTTTCCCTCATTTTAAGAACATTATTGCATAGAAAAATTAGATATTTTGTGAGCATTTATCCATTTAGACATCTATCCCGTGATTTATCCATCTCTGCTAACATGACTCATTTTCACAGTGGCAAATGAATAGCTAATTAAAGGAAGCTTGATTTCAATTCATTATAAAATTTCCGTTCTAGAAAATCAGCATTTTTTCCATTTGCCGTCTTAAATGTAAATACACGAGGGAACATGATTTACGCGGGGGTATTCATTTCACTCGCCAACTAAAAATATATGAGGAATGGCTGTCTTCCACCAGCAACGATGAGTTCACCGGCATGTTACTGATATCATAATGTTGGCTCCGATGATTGTTCCAGCAAATCGAAATTAATTTAACAGTTTCGTTGTCGCATGTAAATCGTCTAAGTATAATATAAAAATACCCGACTGGAATGTTTCTGCAGAGATACCACTCTCACTGACACATGATATAATTTACAGCAATAAATTTTCCAGGCATATTTTTTAGGCAGTTTAAATTCTATTTTCCCTCGAATAACTGGAATCAACCATTTCTAAAGATATTTTTCCCTGATATAAACACTGCAAGGACGTGTAAACAAGGCAGACTGACACCAGATTCATAAGATCTTTCTTTGATACCCAAAACATGAATCAGACAGAATTTGACACCATAAAAAAAATCTGAACCATGCCATTGCCAAGCTAACAAAAAACATGAAAGAGCGCGATATGCGAGAGATTTTTATTTAGCTTCATTACTCAAGAACATCAGCCTGGCATTGTCATTACATGGAGATCTGCTTTTAGAACAAATGGACTACTTAGAGGGTCATTAAAAATGGCATCATCCCGGAAAAAAAAAACTAAAAAGAAACTCTTCAATGAAGAAGCTACTTATCTTTTACTTCTCTTCGTCGAGATTATTCAACGATTCTCATCTCTTCGCAGTACGCAGTCATCTTGAGTGCAAGTAACACTGAAAATACAATATTTGTTCACAAAATCACTTATTATCATTCAATTAACTTAACCCGCTTTGATGATTGAAGACATTTCTAAATTTGAAATATTCTGAAGCGAAATTACACGCTGGAAAATCAAGCCTGCCTTGCTGAAATGTCTCCCTCCATTACTGATGCATAAAAAACTATGATTGGAAATGGCGAACCCATAAGCCCTTAATGAGAGTACGCTTTTGCATTGATGTTCTAGAGTAATAACCGTCTTTTGCCCTGCATATTAGGAGATAGCT